GTGGCTCGTGTTCCCACCAGCCTCTGGTGGAAGGTGGGGGCCAAGTCTTGAATTTTTTGTGCACTATTAAACTTAACTCAGGCACGTGGTATATGCTCAATAAATACCCATTTAAAGTCTTTGAAGCCAGTGTCATCCCTTAAAAGAATTTGCTTGGCACCAGGTGATTTGTTAAATGGTTTTTATGAATCCTCTTATTTAGTCTTCAAGACAACACTATGAAGTAGGCAGTATGATCTACCCGGTTAAAACTGAGGAAACTGAGGCATAAATAACTTGCCCAAGCTCATCCAGCAAAAAAGCAGATGAGCAGGGATTTGAACAGAGGCCGAGGCTGCCCAGCAGCACATGCCTCCCCTTTGATGGGGAGAACTGACTCATCAGCCCAGCAACCACAACTCCCCAAACACCGCCACAGCCCAGCCTGCTGGTTTATAACTCAGAATATCCAGAAGGGAAGGGAGACTAGGAACAGAACGGTCCATTCACAAATTCACTTATTCTTGCAATGAACAACCGTACAACAGTCTTGTGCCAGGCGAGGAGATGAGTCTGGCTGATATCTCTGCACATCTTCCCTCCTCCTGGTTACCTCCATCTCACCCCTCTTTGCCTGATGAATGACAGCCCTGCCATTAATACTCAGCCAAGATCTTCTCCAGGAAGGACCTGGCCTTATTCACTGCTATCAGCATGTGGTTTGGGCTCCAGAAATGTATGTTCTGACCTCCTGTGTCCCTTACACTTCCCTACTCCACCCCTGCCGCCAGCTCTGGTGTTTGTAAACTGTTAATATTTAGGGACTGAAGAGCAAGTTTATGTTTTAGGAGTTCAGCGGGGGGAATACTTTTTAAAAACTGGACAGGCATATCCTGCTTTATATAATAGTTGTATTTGGGAAGTCTGGGAGTATACAAACTTTTTATGAAGTCCTATTTTCTCACTGATGTATGTTTCAGAGGTGATTTATTCTAAATCGTTATTAAGCTTCACTTTTTAAAAATGCTGGGCCTTGGGGAAGGTATAACTCAGTGGTAGAGTGCATACTTAGCCTGCACGAGGTCTTGTGTTCAATCCCCAGTATATCCATTAAAATAAATAAATACGTAAACCTAATTACCCACCCCAACAAAACAAAACACTGTAATAAAGTAAAAAAAAATAATGAAAATGCTGGGCCCTAATACTTTAAAAACAAGCTTTTCTCAAGTGAACCTCTCTATAGGATGGTAATAATCCATACGCAATCCCTTAAGTGTTCTGACACATCTTTACATTTAAAAGAATGCTTTTAGAATCATTTTGCGAAACTAATGACCACCCTCCATTTATACGCTGTCATAGTTAGATGCGCAAAGCTCAAATTAATTCTGATTTGTACGTGTACAGTTAAAATCAAACAGAGCTAAACAGGCCAAACATTAAAAAGCAAAAACAAAAATGAGGTGTTCTCGGCACATCGCCCTCCCCCACCCAGGAGAAACCAGTCAACTCCTTTCGGCTCAGCGATTTTTCCTGTCCTTGTGTGGAGTCAGAGCTGAAGCCCACAAGCCACAAAGCTTCAATGAAAGTATTTCTTAAGCCCTGTAAATACTGGTGGGCACAGCCCGGCTGAGCCAGCATGAAGTAAGAGGGTCTGATTGTCAGCGCGCTCAGCAGATGCTGGAGAAACCCTCCCACGTGTGGTCTGTAAGTAAAGATACATACTTCGCCAGATGCTTGAAGGGTGGCGTGGAGATAGAGTGGGCTACGTCTCAGGACAAGTTAAGAAAGGCCTGACAAAGAAAGAATAGGGCAGAAGGTATAAGACTCCCACTCCCACCCTAGCACATAGTCCTGTATTTGGAAGATGTATACACCTGGGAGATTTCCATGGCTGCAGTGCTCATTGTAATAGCAGCAAAAAGAATTTTGTGTATGCGTGTAACTTACTTGTGCATGTCTTTTTATCTGAGTTAAGAGCAAATCCTTTGGGGCACCGGCAAAAGTAGGAGCCATCGGCATTTACACACTCATGTTCGCATCCGTGGTCTTCTGTGGCACAGTAGTCCACAGCTGTGGAGATTAAAACACAGAATGAGTAGGAACACAAAGAGGTAAGGGGCATAGCAGTATGGAAGCATACTTGTAACAAATATAAGCAAGGATTCATACTGTTGCCCCAAAAAGAGCATGGATAAATAAACGTGAATCTAGGGCCTTCCCCGCCTCCACCCAAAAAGCAGGAGCCTGGATCAGACAATTAGTATCAGAAGATACTGAAGAACACAGGAACAACTTTATTTAAAAGTTAAAGAAATGCAAATCAAAACAACCACAAGGCACATTTACAATTATTAAGCTACAAAAGTGAAGACAAGATAAAACCCAATGGTGGCAAGACAGCGTGAAAACAGAGTTATTAACAGTGGGAGGCCTGATAAACTGATAAAAATTCTTCTGGAAGGACATTTGATAATGTTCACTCGGGAAATGTGACCAAAGCAGTAACTGAAAAAAGGAGGAAATTAACTATTGGAATAAGCTATTTATAGCAGTATTATTTACAATGACAAAAAATTCTGGAGGGTGGTAGGGGGGTATAGCTCAGAGGCAGAATGCGTGCTTAGCATACTCGAGGTCCCGGGTTCAATCCCTGGTATCTCCATTAATCAAAAAATAAGTAAAATAAAATAAAACAGTAAAAAAGTCTGGAAAATAAGGTGACTATTTAATAAGGATAAATGGTTTAGTAACAATACAGCCCGAGGAAACAAATACAGCAGGTTTATGTTGAAAGTGGGGCCAATAGAATTCCTGTTGGATCAGAGGTGAGGCAAGGGAAAGAGAGGGATTAAGGCTGGCTCAGGGATGGGGAGATGCGGGTAGAGTGGGTTTTGTCGGGGAAGATTAGGAGTTCAGTTTTGGGCATTAGGTAGTTTGTTACCATTATAATTCTAACATAATTGTCAATAAAAAGACAAATATAATATGGTGAAAAAAGCAGATCTGAAAGTTGTATATGTACAGTCATTAAATCCAGGTAGAAGAGAGTTATATGACAATGCCTGAAAATTAGAAATAAGAATGTGTGCTGTTATTAAGGCGGTAGAATTATGGGTGATTTTTTTTCTTAAAAAAATGTTTCCCTCTATATAATGTTTTAGGATATTTTAATATCAAAAATTTGTAAAGAATAACAAGGAAATGGGACCTGCAAATTAAAGCAAAACTATGCATTGAGAAGATAATGACATATTAAGATATAATCAAAAGACACAAAAAGAAAAGCTAAAGATTTGTAAAGGGTAATAACGTGTGTTGTGTTGATTCTTTTGCTGCCAGGCTTCATTAAATTTCTGTTATAAGTATCATTTTTTGTAAATTCATTCCCTAAAGAGTTCTAATAGTGCCTGATAATTTGTGGGTTTAATACAGAAGCCACTTTGGTGGGAACAGTGCATTCACACAGTCTCAGGATCTGAATGTCATGGACATGAGCCAGTTGCTGGAGTTGAGTCATAACATAAATATTGCGCTAGCCCCAAATCCTTCTAAAAGTGAATGGCTCATCTTTCAAGAACCAATGTATCACTAAACAAATAACTGAGGACACTGAGGGCACAGAGGTCAAGGATACCGAGCCCTGGCACGTGCCCCAGTCTGCATGTCACAGGAGTGGGCCATGCTGTGGGCCACACTAGCCTGTGTTAGCAGGAGGCACTCCCCACCTCCCACCTCCTCATGCTGGGCCTGATTTACCATCTTGAAAATCTCCAACCCCCAACGTGGGCATCTGCCGTCAATCAGCCAGTCCCACATGAGGCCACCCATTTGTCAGTATCCCTTCCAAAGAGAAGAGCTGCTAATCTATCTGACTGCCAAGTTCCAGGACATTGACGGCACCCCAAAGATGAGTAGGGAGGTCGCTGTACCTAAAAGGAAGGAACTCAGACTCTACCTCTTTCTTGAACTTCCTCTTATATACACCATGGGGTGTAGTCTCTGGGCCCAGCCATCTCTGTCCCTCAGAGAGACACCTGAGCACTCTGGCCTCATATTAGACTGGGGAGAGACTAGAAGCTTTGCTTAGACTAAAGTCTAAGCCATATACTCCAACTTCGCTTTTTTTCCAGAATGCTCTAGAACAAGGCATCCAGTGTTGGATCAGGTGTTAATAAAGTTGCAGTGAAGAAGCTCTTTTAACTGACCTCCACTTAACCAACTCCTGATCAATCACTGCTTTTCATTCCTTCTGAAAATATGGGACCTATTGCCCAGAACATGCTAAATGCTCAAGGCAGTTGGAACACCTGTGCTTTAGAACATCTGTGCACTTCTCGAGTCGGCTGGGTTGTATACTTATAAACAGCCTTGATGCAACACTTGCGCTCTAGAGTGCCCATGTACTTTTCCTACTAACTGACTGTAGCTTATAAAGCATCAGGTCTCTAAGTATGCTGGTGAACCAGCTGCAACCATCATCCCTTGAGAGCTTATTAGTAATGCAAATTCTCAGGCCCCACCGTAGACCTACTGAATCAGAAACTCTGTGTACAGGGCCCAGGAAGATGTGTTTTGACAAGCTCTCCAGGTGATTCTGATGCATGTTAAAATTTGAAAACTGCTCTTAAAAAGAGTCAAAGTTGTTTTTGTTTCCAGACCTCTATATGCCATTTATACATGTTATTATAATTAATTTAAATAGTATAAAAACCAACTCGATATAAGCAAGCACTAAAATGAATTGAATTTTTTAAAATAAAAACTAAATTGAAAGCTTTGGAAAGCTTAAGGTAATCTGTTAAGCAAAATTGCTCTAGAAACAGGCACAGATGAAACATGGGAAGGACTGGGGGCAGTTTCACCAAACTTTATAGATTCTGCCCTTAGATTGCTTTATAGAAGTCTTCAAATTCTTGCTCCAGTTTAAAGAAATCAAAATTGAAAACCACAGATAACACATTATGGGTATGATTTATGCAAGAAATATTTTTAAAAATCATATATTTTTGGTTGGGGAGGGTATAGCTCAGTGGTAGAGTGTGTGCTTACCATGCAGGAGGTCCTGGGTTCAATCCCCAGCACCTCCATTAAATAAGTTAAAAAAAAAACCTAATTACCTCCCCTCAACAAAAAATAAAGAAATAAAAATTTAAAAATGACTCCATAAAAAAAAGTGGACACCAATTATTTTAAAAATCATATATATTTTAAATGAACTTAAAATTAGTAATTTCTGAAACTGTAATTAAAGGTAATTTTTATTAAAAGTACCTTTATGTGTTTCAAAGAAAATTAAAATGCTTAAGGTAGGTTTGGAGATGCTTTTTTTTTATGATTCTACTCTTTGAACGACATTTTCCCTCAATCAGCCAATCTTACAGAATAAGAAGCTTCTCCTGGACTTTGATTCTCACGCTGGGTTTGTTTTTTGTGTGCACAGCTCTCTGAGGAACAGAAGGGGAGAGAAGAGAATGGCAAGGCAGGATTCCAGCATTCCTGGGTTCCAAGACTGAGGCCCATAAAACCCAAAGGTGTCAAATCCCATTTTGATTTGAGGGCCGGCCACTGGCTCACTGCCAGGGAGCTGGGGACAGCAGTGAGGCCATCAGGGTCCTCATCCCAGTTCCGGGCACGTGAACCTAAAAGCTTTCTAAGGGTGAGAGAGTTCCAGTCCATCTCTGACCTCCTTTGCGGCAAGTTTTGAGTTCTTCGCCTAACTTCCTTGGTTGCAGAACTGTACTTGCAAAAAGAGAGGCCAAGTTTAGGGGGCAGGTGTACAGCGGGGACTTTTGCGTGTACCTCGGAGATGCCTCTGTTGTTCCAAGTCCTAAACTACTTCATCTTTCTTGGTCGTTATGCCTGAAATTCTACATCCTACAAACAGAAAGAGTAATTCCCTGGCAGTAGCTCTTCAGCTCTCCAGATCACAAAGTGCTAAGATGTCAGAATCTGAAGCCAATCTCGCTGTGTTCAGCCTAAAACGTGAGAAATTGCTTAGCTGTCTCCACAGATAAACTATATTTGGTGCAAGGTAATAAAGCTTAAGACTGAATAAATTTAATAATAATAAATTAAATAATAAAATAATAATATAAGTAATAATAAATATAAATAAATAATAATAAAACACATTTAATAATAAAGTGTCATTGACAATTTGGTCACATTCCTAGGTTTCCTCAGCAGGGATCAGTCCACAAGAGAAGCTCCTTGGTAGAAACCGGATATTTTAAAGAGAAGCATTTGGGTTTTAATGTTTGTTGATGACAGAGTAAGAAAAACCAAACTTTTCATTTAGAGAAATGGTAGAATCAATTTACTTGCTGAGTATATGTAAGATACACACAGAGTCAGACTCACAAAGCCTCTCGTACCCAGGGCACGGTGGGGTTTCTTTATGCAGGATTTTAAAACTCAGAGAGTTTCCTACAGGTTTATTTTGTTTTATTTTTTTATTGAAGTGTAGTTAATTCACAGTGTTAGTTTCGGGTGTACAGCAAAGCGACTCAGTTATACATATTTTAATAACACAGGGAAATGCTCTGGGCTGAATTGTGTCTCCCTGACCCTAAACTCAATTGTTGAAGTCCTAGTTCCTAACAGGTCAGAATGTGACTGCATTTGAAGACAGGACCTTTAAAGAGGTGATTAAGTTAAAATGAGGTCGTTAGGGTGGATCCTAATCCAATGTGACTGGTGTCCTTATAAGAAGTGGAAATCTGGATACACAAAGAGGCACCACGGATGCACGAGAACAGAACAAAGACCATATGCAGAGGCAGCAAGCCAAGGACAGAAGACTCAGAAGAAACCAACCCTGCTGACACCCTGACCTTGGACTTCCAGCCTCCGGAACTGCGAGAAAATAAATTTCTATTGCTTAGACCACTCACTGTGATATTTCGTTATGGCAGCTCTGGCAAACTAATACAGGGAGAAATTCTTATATCGGGGGATGGGGGAGGTTATGCTTCAGTCGTGAGGAATAAGCTGACCAATTAAAAATCTGACCTTTCCATATAAAAACTGATCCTCCCATCCCTTGTTGCCAGCTTAAATATCATCCATTCCCTCCTCACGGAGGGTACTTAATATGGGAGAATATAGGAAGAAAGCTTTGAAAGCAGCAGTAACACCAGGCTAAATCCCCATGCTATGTGCCACCATCATTCTGGGTATGGACCTCAATATGATTTTTTAAATGTACCATATGTTTGATGTATTATTAAATGCAAACATTCGTAAGAAGACAAAAATTCACAAAGGATAGAGAAATTCAGATTCAACTAGTATTTATCAATTGTCCATGTATAGTACTTTTCCAAGTGTTTCACATACATTAGCTCACCTCACCCTCACAACAACCCTTAGAGGTAGGTATTATTGTTATCCTCAATTTACAGATGAAGCCACTGAAACAGAGAGGTCAAGAGACCTATAAAATGTGGATAAGAACAGTACCTACCTCAAAGGGTTGTTGCAATTATATGTAAAATATTTCAAATGGCGGGAGGGATATAGATCAGTCGTAGAGCACATGCTTAGCATGCACGAGGTCCTGGGTTCAATCCCCAGGACCTCCACTAAAAAAATAAAATTAAATATTTCAAACAGGTCCTAGGACTTAGTAACATTCCATAAATGTAGATTATATTTTTATCACACTGCCTCCCTAATCAGATAAGGTTGATTTGGGGAGTAAAGAGATACCTTAATGCCATTCAGTTGTTCCATAATCATTTACTGGGCAATTACTATGCGTCAGGCATTGTGCTAAACCCTGGATGGTAATGACAATCAAACAGCATCTTGAGATGGTAAGACATCTTGGAAGAAAGGCAGGAAAGAGAAGCCAAGCCTTAGTGGTGATTATCTCCAGGAATTGAAATTGAGGAGGAATGTCTTCCAGGTTTTGATTTTACATACATCGGTCCTCTGATTTTTTTTTAAATAAGCAAAAAACTGATTTTGTAATTTAAAAACCAATCAAGGAAATGAATGCTTGAGATTGTGATCACTCCACCTCAGTCAATGATTGAAGAAAAACATTTTGCAAGTCTACCCTGTGAAAGATGAAAAGTACAGGAATTGGCTTCTGCCCCTAAGGGTTTACAATCTGCTTGGGTGGATAAGATGCAAAGAGGACCAAAGTTACCCCAAAAGACAAGGCAGTCAGTGAACATCAGGTGAGCAAGTACAGCAGAAAATTCACCCTCAAGGACAGACGTAAATGGTCTTTGAAAATGTATAGTTTGGGATGGACATTAACACAGCTTTAGTGGAAGCTGATGGATTATAAATACCAGGACTCAACTAAAGCAAAGTCAGGATCTTAGTCAGTAATCCACCCTTGACCACCTGGATGCTGAAATAAATTCAGTATCTAGAGTGAAATGAGCAGTTGGGGAAATGGGACTCTAACATTCCACTAACTCAGAAGTGTGGAAATGTTGTCTAAAAAGTCCTGAATCTGGCTAGGAACTGAATTTTCATGCAGGTCACAGTCATAATTCGGGGATGAGTCAAAGTATTCCCAGTGCATCCATTCATCAGTAGCTGGTCATAAATTTCTACCAAACTTCTTTTAGTAAAGAGCTTAGACTTGCTGTCCCCACTTTCTGACCCCCTAGCCCCTTTAAATCTACCCTTTACCCCCTCCGTCTTGATCATTATCAATGGCCTCCTGGTCATGTCTGTGTCCCTAATGCCCAGAGGGTGCCTGGCAGGGAGTCTGGAAATGTTGGCTGAGATGAATCCATGACTCAACTCGATGGCTCCTTCTCTTAAGTTCTGTTCCATCTGGCCTCGCTGGGGCATGACACTAATACTGACCTGGCCTAGAAATTCTCCTTCCCATCATATTTCATAGCTTCTGATTCTCTCGACCACCTCTCCCCAACTCCTCCACCCCCATCTTAGGCTGCTCCTTCGCAGACACGCTTCCTGCCCGTCTGTCTCCCTCCTGCTCCCTGCATGTTCCTACAGCTCAGGCCTTCACTTTCCCCAGCTCCACACTTCATGGAACCCAGGAAATGATGATAATAATGTGTTGTAATAATAATAATAATAATAATAATAATAATAATAATAATAATAATAATAATAGTAACAATTGCCTAATATGTCTTAGGAACACTACTCATTATCTTATTTAATTCTACAAACTCCATGATGTATGTATTATTACTCTACATCATAGATGAGAAAACCAAGGCTCAGAAATAAAATGACCCATGATTAGCAAGTAGCAGAACTGGGATTTGAGCCCATGTCTTACTGTACTGAAGGTCCAGATGCTTTCAAAACCAACACACAAATGAACACTTGAAATGGAAATTAAAATTCAGAAGGAAATGGACTGTGCTGCCTCCTGCCTGCATCACTGGTGCCACACCCTCCTCGTGGCGTTAGTACTGCTTTCTGCTCCCTCTCCACGTGTCCTTCTTGGTGCCTCATCCCCACTTCCAACCCACCTGGTCTAAAGCTACTCATTATCTTTTTAAAAAATCTGTTCCCGCTGCTCTGGAATTTCATCACTGTTGCTTTCACTCTCAGAGTCACGGAAGCTCAAACCCAGGCGTCAGTTGTGGTTTTCCTTCTCCTCTCGATTTATAGCATTTCTTTCATCCCTCACTCTTTCTCTCTCCATTTCTACAGTCCTACTCAAATCCTGGCTCCTGTCACCTGTCACCAGAGGATGTTTATAATCTCCTAACTGATCTTTCCATCCCTCCCCATCTTCCTCCTGGAACCCATCCTTCACCACAAGATTAACTTTCCTAAAATGAGGTTTTGCATTTATCAGTCCCAATTAGAAACCCTTTAGTGTCTCTTTGTCAGAGATAAAGTCCAGACTCTTTAGCCTGTTTTCAAAGCTCTGATCACGATGGTTCCACCTAATACCTTCAACTTCATCTCCTACTTCACACCTGCAGGAATTCTCTGCTTTAACAGAGCTGATCTCCTCAACTGTTTGTCAGACTGGCCTTAACTAGGGTGATTCCAGAATTTATCGTCCAAACCAGAACCTCCCTGAAAGTGAGAGTGCTATTGAGAACTGAGCCAACAGCTATAAACTAGGATCCTC